CGAGACCAGGACAGGCAGCTGCGCAATCACACCCTGCACACACTTGGTGTGGCCATCCAGCACCTCACAGGAGTCCCTGTGCGCGGTGTATCGAATGGCGCCCGTCCCGTCGTCCGCAGCATGCCACACCCGGATCGTGTTGTCCCACGACCACGAGACCAGGACAGGCAGCTGGCCATGCGCACTCGGCAGCGCAATCACATCCCGCACACCGTAGGTGTGGCCCTCCAGCACCTCACAGGAGTCCCTGTTCGCGGTGTACCGCATGGCGCCCGTCCCGTCGTCCGCAGCATGCCACACCCGGATCGTCTCGTCCCCCGACCACGAGACCAGGACAGGCAGCTGGCTGTCCGCACTCGGCAGCGCAATCACACCCTTCACATTGCCGGTGCGGCCCTCCAGCACCTCACAGGAGGCACTGTCCGCGGTGTACCGCATGGCGTCTGTCCTGTCGTCCGCAGCATGCCACACCCGGATCGTGTTGTCCCCCGACCACGAGACCAGGACGGGCAGCTGGCCATTCGCACTCGGCAGCGCAATCACACCCCGCACAAGGCTGGTGTGGCCCTTCAGCACCTTACAGGAGGCACTGTTCGCGGTGTACCGCATGGCGCCCGTCCCGTCGTCCGCAGGCCACACCCGGATCGTGTTGTCGGCCGACCACGAGACCAGGAGAGGCAGCTGGCCATCCGCACTCGGCAGCGCAATCACACCATTCACACCGCTGGTGTGGCCCTCCAGCACCTCACAGGAGGCACTGTCCGCGGTGTACCGCATGGCGCCCGTTCCGTCGTCCGCAGCATGCCACATCCGGATCGTCTTGTCGTCCGACCACGAGACCAGGACAGGCTGCTGGCCATCCGCACTCGGCAGCGCAATCACACCATTCACACCGCTGGTGTGGCCCTCCAGCACCTCACAGGAGGCACTGTCCGCGGTGTACCGCATGGCGCCCGTCCCGTCGTCCGCAGGATGCCACACCCGGATCGTCCCGTCGAACGACCACGAGACCAGGACAGGCAGCTGGCCATGTGCACTCGGCAGCGCAATCACACCCTGCGCACCGTAGGTGTGGCCCTCCAGCACCTCACAGAAGGCACTGTCCGCGGTGTACCGCATGGCGCCCGTCCCGTCGTCCGCAGCATGCCACACCCGGACCGTCTTGTCCTCTGACCACGAGACCAGGACAGGCAGCTGCGCAATCACACCCTGCACACACTTGGTGTGGCCATCCAGCACCTCACAGGAGGCACTGTTCGCGGTGTACCGCATGGCGCCCGTTCCGTCGTCCGCAGGCCACACCCGGATCGTGTTGTCGGCCGACCACGAGACCAGGAGAGGCAGCTGGCCATCCGCACTCGGCAGCGCAATCACACCATTCACCCAGCTGGTGTGGCCCTTCAGCACCTTACAGGAGGCACTGTTCGCGGTGTACCGCATGGCGCCCGTCCCGTCGTCCGCAGGATGCCACACCCGGATCGTCCCGTCGAACGACCACGAGACCAGGACAGGCAGCTGGCTGTCCGCACTCGGCAGCGCAATCACACCCTCCACACCGTAGGTGTGGCCCTCCAGCACCTCACAGGAGTCCCTGTTCGCGGTGTACCGCATGGCGCCCGTCCCGTCGTCCGCAGCATGCCACACCCGGATCGTGTTGTCTCTCGACCACGAGACCAGGACAGGCTGCTGGCCATCCGCACTCGGCAGCGCAAGAACACCATTCACACAGTCGGTGTGGCCCTCCAGCACCTCCACGCGTTCACCAGTTAGCACGTCAAGTACGTCCACATTCTTCCCACATCCACCAGCAACCAGTGAGCCACCGATGTTGATGACGTTTTCGTACGAGCCATCAAAGCGAAAGCGCTCAGCACCACGATGCGTGACAGGGTCCACGGCTCTCGATGGAATGAAAGCCTTAGACGAAGCATCTTTGCGCACAGCAGCAACCAGGTCCTTCACGGCTTTGGACGCCTTGCCATAGGCAAGTCGGGCGACAA